CTGTAGACAGTTTTACTTAGGATGAACAGTGATTATACAGGGGCAAACGGAATGCAATCCATGTGGGACAAGGGCAGGTGATAAGTGGGAGGTGAAAGGTTAGATTAATGGCTATATGGGAGGAGGTTGGTATAGGCAGGAACAAAGTTATTTGTCTAGATTCTATAGGTGTTGACATCCCACATTCCACTATTGCCAATCAGTCATTTGGTTAGATTCCATAGATGTCAATATCCTACATTCCAAACCCAGCCACCGGGAATTGCCAATCATTAATCTATACTAATCTCTGGGAAATGAGAGCCCCCACTGGCAACACTCTGTCTGGGTCCCGGGGTTGTTCTTGCAGTTCTGGGTTCAGTTGATTTCAGAAATTTGCCAGCAGGAACTAAACACCCTAGGTTTGTCCCAAGCCCCACCTCTCTTGCTGTGTGCCAAATTTTAATTGTACAACTGTAACCTGTGCGACCCCCCCCCCCATACAGAATGCTGAGCTGAAGAGCACCCAGAGCCCCGTCTTCCTCTCCTGGTTTCTCTAGTAGGCTCCCAAGCGCATCTTTCCTTTCTAGTGAGGGCTGAGCTGAGGAGCCGACCAGAGCTCCGCCTTCACACCTTGATTTCCCTGCATCCCAAGCCCTCTCCCCACACCCCACCCTGTATCATCCAACTCTAATCCTAGGAACCATAGGCCTCCCTCTGGTGAGCACTGAGCTAAGGGACAGAGCAGAGTATTCTGCCTTCTTGCCCCTCTTGTCAGCCCTCACTCCCAGCTCACCAACATTCACCTGTACCCCTGACCTGTAGAATTCCTCCTGGTGAGTGGGGTGTTGTGGAACAGTGCTCAGGTTTTGTACTGTGCTTTCCCTAGGAGCATCCCAATCCAGCCACCACCCTCCCCTAGTCCCATTAACCATTCAGTTGGGCCCCTGGACCCTGTGGAAAGCTCCAAGTGCTGTTCTTCCCCTTCATGCTGACTTTCTTTAGGCAAGCTCTGTCTCTGCTGTTCTCAATGCCATAATTCAAGTGGACCCCTGGGACCCCTTGAAACTTCCCATGGCAAAGCCTGAAGCTGAAGGACCATCCTCAGAGCTCAACCTTTGGGCTGTGCTTTCTCTGGGTCCATCCCAAACCCAGTGTCTTCCATTCCACCATTATTCAACCGAACCCATAGACCGTATGGGAACCATTCTGTAGAGCTGAGCTCAGACCTTCTTGCTGCACTTTTTCTGATTGGTCCCAAACCCAGCTTCCCCTGCATTATCCTTCCACTCCCTTTTCTTCTTCCCCCTTCCCCTTCTGTTTGCCCCCTCTCCTACATCTTTTCTTCTTCCCCTTCCTTCCTTATCCTGCCCTTACTCTGTCCTTCCTTCTCTTTCCTTCCTCTCTTCTCCTGCTCTCCCTTCCTTCTTTTCTTCCTTTCCTTTACCTCCTCTGCCATTCTCTCCCCTTCCTTGTCTTCTCTTCCTTCCCCCTGGCCTCTCTCTCCTTCCTAGCCTTTCGTCTGCTCCATTGCTTTGCCCTTATGTTGCTGCTGTTGCTATATTACACTTAGTTGTGGCATGAAGAATTTTAACAATAGAGCCAGAAATCACAGACTCATGCAGATAGACTAAACTCCCTACAATTGAGCCACAGCCCTCAGGGGTCACAAACTTTGAACATTTTTATTATCTAACACAATGGGAAGGTACCAAGTGAAGCTTCTGGAGTACCACCCTATGATCCTCTGACCACTAGGAGATAATACCCCACACAGAGTGACGGGAGCACCCACCACCCAGTGTAGGGGGGAGGATAAGTACCTCCCCAGAGCATAAGTGCCTGCAAGAGTGAAGGTCACTAACAATGCAATAAAGGCAAGGAGGTAGATTAAATGGAGCCTAAACTCACAGACACAAAAGAACTTTGCTCAGGACCTACTTGGGTCCTAAGGTTGCACCGTGGAGATGATAGACAGGGCAGCAGGAAGCTGTGGTGAGGAACGTCAGTGGGATGTGACTCCCAGCAGTGTTGGTCAGGAGACTGGGGAATGATAAGCCCTACAGTCTGGGGGAGCATGTACGAAGCATTTAATCATCGCAGCGTCAGAATCAGAGGTGGTGGGGGCAGAAGCATCATCTCAGCCCCTGCAAGTGTCCTGTGAATGTCTAGGTTGGAAAACCCAAAAGATGCAAATCAAAGCTATAGGATAGGCATGCCACAGGTGGCAATTTGAGAGGCCATGTGGAAGGACACTCACCCAGAACCTACTCTTTCCAGCTTCTCAGCCAGACCCTAGGAGGGGCTCACTGTGGAAGCTAGCTGGGGGAGGGAACCATTTTGTGGAGCAGCCCTTGCTTTCTCTGAATTATCTGATCTTGGGTGAGATGCTCCACTTCCTTTCCAACACAGGCTGTCACTGTGCATTCTGGGTCAGACTCCCACGTGGTGAATGCGGGAAAGCCACATTTTAAGAAATAAAATATTTATTAAATAAATATTAAGCACTTATCCTAACCTTCCCAATACTTGACCAACATTGCATAGGGCTGACATCGTCTGTCCCTGGGACATTTCCTCCAATGTTCCATGTGACCCAGCTCCACTTCATGCTTTAAGTTCTGTGACAGTTGAGCAGAAGCACATCTTGTGTCTTTTTAAAAGCATTTTTAAAGGACTGGAACTGACTTCTGGTTTTGTGGTGGTTGTTATAGTCTTTCACACCTCATAGATCGCTTGCCCCAAATGGCTTCTCATCAGAAACAGCAATAACAAACAAGCCAGAGACCTGTGGGAGGAATTAATGTCTTACTCCTGAGATGTCCCATGTAATTTTTATAAAGAGAACAATAGTTTCCATAGGAACCCAGGGAGGGGAAGGCCCCCACAATACACAAGACTGACTCCTGCCACTGCTCACTCTTTGCTTTTGAGACAGACAGAAATATGTATATATTGTTTAACCCAAAAAGCTACCATTTCCTTTGTCCACAGCGGAGGGACCAGAGCCCAGCCCTGTTACGTAGAGACTCTCCACTGCTGATCTGAGCAAGTGAGCTGGAGAGGTGACCCGACCCTTCCAGCCTGGGGGAGTTTTGCTGTTTCTGTCTTCAGAGGCCTTTGGCCAGTGAGGGTGGTGGTGGTTAATCATCTCAGAGAACCCCGAGCTTGTGGAGGACCAGCTGGCCCGTGCAGGTAGTGCCTGTCAGGAAGGGCATGAAGGATGCATTTGTCACAGTGGCCAGAGAACCTGTCCCCTCCCTTCTCCCAGGGACTCTGCCAGGGTGGGGCTGGGGGGTCTTGGCTCAACCGTGCTAGTTCCCCTGTCCTGCCAGGTGCAGACTGACTTGCTCGCTGTCCAGGTGGAGTCCAGCCCAGCCAGCCCAGAGTCCAGAGTCCCACCATGGAGAAGGTCAAAGCTAGTTCTCTTCATTTCCTGGATGAGCGGGGGCTACCCCAGTGGGATATTGCTATTAGTCAGCTAAATCCATGGCTCCCCTTTCTGACATTTAGATCTTTCAGCTCATGAAAGCCAGTGTCCCATGCCCCTGGAATCTACTGGTACTTCAGAGATTACCACAGATCGACCTGTGGGGTTCAGTCTCTGATCATTTGTCAGATCTGGGGACTGGAGTGATAGTACAGCAGGTAGGGCATTTGCCTTGCAAATGTCCAACCCGAGTTCAATCCATGGCATCCCAGATGGTCTTCCAAGCACTGCCAGGAGTAATCCCTGAGTGCATGAGCCAGGAGCAACCCCTGAGCATCCCTGGGCGTGACCCAACCCCAAGAGCAAAAACAAACAATTTGTCAGTCTTGGAGGACACTAGATGGGGCGGTCTCTCAGACTCACATGGATTTCTGTCCTCCCACCCCACCCTGACCAGAAATGGGTGGAAATCATGCTGTTTCTTCCCACACACCAAGTACCCACTTCCTGCTGCTCACGGCACTCCGTCCACCCATGAGTCCTGCAGAGAAGCCCACTCCACCGAGACATGGCAGGCTCCATGGATGAGTTGCTCACACCATGTGACAGGCGAGTGGCTGAGCCCAGACTGCCAGGCTATCCCTCCTGTGCAGAGCTTCTTTCCTGGGGCAGGGTGATGTGCATGTGTGATGTGGGCACATATGGGACAGAGTCCCCTCTTTGCCTCCTTCTTCCTTCCTGGATGCCCCCATCTCGAGGGGTGCAGCACATGCCTCACAGTCCTGAGCCTTGGCAGTGAGCCAGCCCCCGACTGCTGGGGAAACAGCTGTGAGGAGGAACCTTGCTGGTTCCAGGTCTGCCCAGGGGATAGCATCTCAGAGCTGGGGAGGGGACGATGCAGGGATACTCTTGTCCCTGCTTGGGGGAAAGGGCACCGAGCAGGAAAGAGCCGTCATTCCCTCCCTGGTCTCTGGGTCCCAGCACTGAGACCATGACAGGGACCTCAGCCCTGCCCTGGGTCCCAGCCCTGTCCTTCCCAGGTTGAGTCCAGTATGAGGGTGCCTGAGCTGAACCCGAGTAAGATGCACGATAGAGTCAGGGATGTGAGGACCTTGCCTGGACCTGCCCGCTCCCTGTGTGAGGTGAAGCCAGGTCTGTGCCAGAGTGCTAGCACAAGGGGGAGGCACGCGCCTTGCACACGGCCAAGTCAGGCTCGATTCCCAGCACTGCGCAAGGTCCCTGATGCTCGGCCAGGAGTGAGCCCTGAGCACTGGCGCCTGTGGCCCAAACACTGAAACAAAAAATGACAGAGAGTCAAGCCAGTCACTCACATCCTGACGGCAGGAGACCTCAGCTGTGGCCCAGGCTCGCCTCCTCCCCTCCCCTGCAGAGCCACCCCCCGGAAACTCTCCTAACGGAAGCTGGTGGTTTTCAGAGCCCTACAGACACAGAACTGCTCAGACCACTTGAAAAGGAACTCCGCATCTCTGGCTGCACCCCTGCCCCACTCAGGCTGCTCCTGGGACTCCCCAGCAGGGTTCAGGCTCCAGACTCAGCCACTACCTTTCGGCAGGAGTCAGGCTTTGGGGGTGCTCCCTCTGCTCCTATTGGGGAGCCCCCGGACCGTCCACCTGCCCCCTCCTCCTGCATCACCATGCTGCGGTCCTGGGAGCTGCTCGCCTGCTACTGCCTCATCCTGGGCACCTTAGGGTGCCCCTCCCCAGGTAAGACAAGGGGCCTCCTTCTGTGCTATGGGAGCAGTGACCACTCTTGGTGTTCCAGGGGCTCTTCCCCAAGTTCCCCTGAGCACTCTCTGGGTGAATTGTGAGTAGCAATGAACTTTGCTGAACGCAGAAAGAGGGGGCGGACTGGGCGACTCTCCCTGGTGCTTCCTCCCTGCTGCCTTCTACTGCCCAGTGACTTTTCCTGGGGACCCACACAGACTCCTTCATCCTTCCCCGCCCCCCAGGGGACTGCCTACCTTCCCTGGCTCTGGCTCACACCTGACCTCCGGGGCTGTCCAGGGCTATGGGGACACCGTCTTTGCCTGATGTCTGCTGCTTGGCCACCAGGAAGGGATTTAGGTAGGACAGTGACACTGGACAATCTCCTGGTCTGTGCAAAGGTTAGACTTGGGGCTCCAGGGGTGACACTGCTGGGGTTAGGGGCAGGGGAGCCGACTCTCTAGACCCCTCTCTCTGCCCCCAGACAGGGGCATTCCTGAAAACCTTGGAGAGAGAGCCCAGAACACATGAGGGGTCCACCTCTCCCACCATGAGGATAGAGGGCTTTCCCACTGCAGTGCTCAGGGCAGGAGAAGCAGAACGAGTGGTCTCAGATGCAGGGTCAGCACCCCTCTAAGACTTGGTGGATCTCTGGGAATGAGGCTCTGAGACAGAGCCTTAGGGAAGGCCTCCCATGGCTGGTCACAAGTGGAGATGTGGGGGGCCCTGAATGTCCCCAAAGATGACCTTGTTAAACTGGGCCGAGATATCCCCAGAGAAATCACATGAAGACAAACTGCGATGTAATAAGCAAAGGGCCCTCGTTGGGCTCACCAACACAGCTGCAGCCTTCTAGGAACGAGTGGCCCCGAGTCTCAAAAGTGAGTGACTTTTACACCATAGCATTATATCACAGGGACTTTCGCAGACCACCCTTTTGGCTGCAGTCTGAAGGGCTTTTCACTACTTGTACTTAGCTGATCGGTAGTAAGTCAGAATTCCATAGGGTTACGTAAGGGTTACAGAGCTGGGGCTTTCCTATCTACATCTGATTGGTAACCCTTAGTTGATTTGACCGTGGCTATCTCACTTTGGGGAAATCATGACTCAATTCCAGGAATCTGTGCTCAATTGCAGGAATTCTCGAACTGAAACCTAGGCCTAGTTTCTTCTGGCCTCCTTATGAGCCTATCACGTCACTTCCTTTGCTTCTCTATCTCTCAACTTCAGCACCCACCAACTGCCCTGGCCTCCTCTGAGAACAGGTTCCGGAAGCTTCTTGTGTGAAGTGGGGTGTGAGGTGAGGTGGGCAATCCCCAAAACTGGAGCATCTCAGCAGCTGGATTCTCAGTCTGGGGGACTGAGGGTCGCCTGGCTCCTCAGCACTTAGGAAATTGCCATGTGGGGGAAAACCTTCCTTTCCCTACCTTTCTGGGCTCTCCTGGAAAGGTAGATGTGTCTCCCTGCATCCCGGGCTGACCAGGACTGTCTCACCACAGGATCGCTTGGGCTGCTGCTCCCAGCCCACAGCCTCTGGACTCCCCGAAGGCTGGAGAGCGGCCGGGCCTCACTGACCCTTCTCTGACATGTGGCGATTTCTCTTGTACTGGAGGTGCCCTTCTGCCCTCCTGGATGTCTGCGGTAGCCAGCACCTACTTGAGGACACACAGGTCCTAACCTCCTTCCCTACCACTCAAGCATCGAGTTTCATGGCTATTGTGTGATCTGACTGTCTCACTGCCCCCATCCAGATGGCGAAACAGAGGATCCAGGAAGTTGGGCCCTCGGTGAGCCAGGCAGGCGAGAGGCAGAGAGGGAAGCCTGCCCGGGGCAGCTCTGTCTTCTGCATCTCTGCATACCGGCATTTTGTGGAAATCTGGGAGGGCATACTTTGTAAAAAGGCAGTCAAACTAAAAACCCTCTTTCCCCCTCACCTCCCCCTGCAATTTAATTTTATATCCCAATCATAAAATTTTCTGATTTTAATAGCCAAGTCGTCCATGCCTGCCTTAGAAAAATGAGATTTTTAAAACCAAGTATCCCTCGAACGAGATCGCCCGTCATTAGACCCCAAGCTGTTAGGTACTGCAGTAATAATGAGTTGGTAAAGCAACCTTCAGCCACATACTCTTGGGCCAAGTAAGAATTGAAAGTTAGTCCTGAGATCTACGGGCACCCGTCTGTGCTTATGCTAACCCCTGCAAGCTCCTGGACTGAGTCAGCAAACATTTGGACTGGCTCTCCAGGAAGTTGTGGGAAAGTTGTCTCTGACCCTAAACAGTGAAACCATGTCATGTTCCCCTCATCTCCTCAGCATGTGGGGCAATGCTTTGCATGAATACAGGTGGCAGTTAACCTTGCCTGCTCCTGGCACACTGGAATGTAGTTTTAGGATGTAAATGATTGTGTTCTTTGAGTCATTTGTCAAGGGTTCGAGGCTCAGTGTACAGGGAGGGTGACTGAAGCTTCTAGTTTACCTCTCCTATATGGCTTTAGTAGATCTCACTGTACTCACAGTACTCAGATGCGACACTATCTGCCCAAACCCAGGATTCATCACTTGAGTGCTGACTCTAAGTACTGACCTGAGGTGCCCTCACCTCCTGAGCCCTCAACCCTCTCTGTAGCCTCTGTTCATTCTTCTCCCCACATAGGTTCCTGCAGAGCGGGCACCTGACCTGCTCTCGCCACCATACAGACCTCAGCACAGCACCTTCCTTGTCCCCAGAGGCTCTGATACTGGGGGGCTGGTCTCATCTGGTAGTGCTCTTGGATTACTTCTGGCAGTGCTCGTGACTTTACTCCTATGCTCAAGAATCACTTCTGGCAGGATTCAGGGGAGATCAAACTGGTCAGCTGTGTGGGGCCAGTGCCTTTCCCACTGTGCCATCTCTCTGACCCGCTGATATTTTTCATGCCGATTTCTCTGCAGGATATGCACTCCCGCAAGCAGAGCTCCTGCACCCTGAGCCTGCAGGAAGAGGAAGGTTTGGGAAGGGCTTGGGGAGTTGAGGGAATGAAGGAGGGGTGTCAGGCCCCAGTTCCATCCAAGAGGCTCTTCGTGTGAATTTTCCCAGCTTTGATCCAAGTTAAGTACAGGAAGCTTGCAGATGAGGTCAGTCACAGTGACCTTCCCCCGCCCTGCGGGCATCAGCTCCATGATATCCTTGTGATGGAGTCCACTCAGGGCTGGCCTGCCCTGAGTCCATCACCCAGGAGACCCAGTGTTTTGAATCACACAGAAGTCAAGATGAGGGGAGTGTAGCCCAAGCATGAGCCCTGAGTCCTTTGCACAGCCCTGACTGATCCTCGCTGTGGGTGGGCAAAGGTCCCGGACAAGGAGGCAGTATGATAGCCTGGGTGAGCCTAGGGTGGGAAGTTTTGTCATATGTGTCAGAAGGGACCGTGGCTTCTGATACGGCCTTATGCACAGGGCTGGGGGACAGGGCCTCCATCTGACCCATCCCTGTGCTTTCCCTGGCCCTGTTAAGAACAGAGCTTTAAGCATAACCTGCCACTGAGTTTAACCACAGATCACTGTGGGCAAACGGCCAAGGGTGGGGCTGCAACTTAAACATGCTTAGGGTCATGTTTATCGTGGAGAGATGAGTGTCAAAGTCTGTGCTGTGGCTGAAGGACCCAGCAGCCCACCACCCAGTCATAAAGTGCATGTTCTCTTTCTCCCTCCAGATTTCTGTCAGCAGATCTTTGATGTGAAGCCAGGATTTCCCAAAGCAATAAAAACCAATGACCCTAAAGTGCTCCAAGCAGCTAGACTCAGTGCGGAGAGGTTCAACAACTGCACCAATGATGTTTTCTTGTTCAAGGAATCCCGCGTCGAGAGCGCCATGGTCCAGGTGAAGGTCTGGGTCCTCACCAGCAGATATCTTGGGGGTGACTGGAGGCTGGGCCCCTTCAAGGACAGATTCACCAAGTATCCTAGCCTGGACCACAGATCAATGTCACCCAGAGCTGGGCATCTCCTAGGAAAACTAGTCTCTCCTGGTGGGTGCATCAGGCCTGTGGTGCAGGAAGGGCCCAGCAGCTAGGGGGTTCCTCTCCAGGGGTGGGTCTGGGACTTCCTTTTAGGCGGCCCTTGTGCCTGAACCCCAGCATCACCTGCACAGTGGCCCCAAAGGCTTCTCGCTTACTCTTACCTGATGGCTGACCCTGGTACATGGTCCCTCCACCCCCAGTTCTTCACTCTGGGCAGAATTAGGCCTGCCCATGAGAACCCACCAGTTCTCTGTGTTCAGAACAGAGGCAGGAGCGTGATGAAGCGGGAAGGAATCATCCCCATGCCCTGAATGGGGCCCAGCAGTGGGGCCCAGCCACTCCCAAGCAGGACCAGTATGCACCAACACCCACACGCAGGTCTGAAGAGCATCCCTGCAGGCACGTGAGCCTGGCAGACCATGGGGGGCCGTCATCACCGCTATTCAGTTTGGGCAGTCACAGCTTTCAGAGGTTCCTCTCTCTGCGATAGAAAGCGGGTGTCAGACAAGAGGTCTAGGGTGGGCTTCACAGCTCAGCACATGGAGGTCTGACCTGGAGGGGCTGATGTTGGGGGGGACTCAGTCCCGCGGGGGACTCAGGCACAGTTTGTGCCCAGTCACCCTGGGGGAGAGCAGGAACTCTGTCCATGGGGGACACTGGAGACATGTCACTCCATTTGAGGGGTGGGGGTACTTTCCTCTGGGCCATGAGACCACAAAGGAGTGAGACCAGGTGGGTGCCATGGACGGGCTGAGGAGCCACAGCCACACATAGCACTGTCACATTGGGGGCTGGCACAGTGGTCAACAGGCACCCAGACCTGGACGGTCCAGGGCTAGACAAGGCACGGACCTACAGCAGCCTGCAGCGCAGAGCTCAGGGCACCAACAGGATAGGCAAGTGCAGAGAAGGCCCAGGCAGGGGCCGGGTGTCCAAGTGCTCTGCAGATGCCCCTGCCAGGCCTCCAGTGGGATCTCATTCCTGGGCCAGCAGGCACAGCTAGAACCTTTCCTGCCTCCAGATCACCTGCAGGCCCAAGCAGCAGCCCAGTCCCTGAGCCTGCCTGGGTTTAAGCAAGCCGACTCCTCTGTTCTTCACAGGTGGTGAAGGGCCTGAAGTACATGCTTGGCGTGCTCATCAGCAGGACCACCTGCAAGAAAACCCAAAGGCCGCACCTGGACAGCTGCAACTTCCAGACCAACAAAACCTTAGAGCAGGTGGGGGTTGTGGGCCCGTTCACCTTCCCAACCCCATCTCTGCTGGCTTTGGGATAAAACCCTCTATCTAACCCAGGCACCAGAAGGCAGGAAACCAAGGCTGGGGGTGTTAGAAAAATAAGGAGCTTCAATTAATTCAGAGATTAGGCATAAATGCTCGGAGAGCAAATGGGTGGTAAATGTAAGAATTTGTAAATACGGGGGGTGGAGGTGGAATGTGTGTGTGTGTGTGTGTGTGTGTGTGTGTATGTTCTCTTCATCATTATATTTTTTCATAGGTTTGGAAATTTTCAAAATAAAAACCCAAAGCAGGGGAGGGCTTGGTAAACAAAACTTGCACGCACATGCACAAACATATGCACACTTGAACTTCACACGCATGAATGTGCGCACACATGCTTGTACACACAAATGTTTACGTACACGTGCATGTACACAAATGCAGACATACACAAGCACAATGCCTGTGGACATACATGCACAGATGCGTGTGCATGCACACACACATGCCAGGGACCTAGGGACGCCCACTGTGTGCGTGCTCTACGAGGGGGACTGCCCTGCAGGTGCAGGTGGCACCCGAACTGGGACGACTCTCTCTTTCAGACTCTCTCCTGCTACTCTGAAGTCTGGACCATCCCCTGGCTCCAAAAGTTCCAAGTAACTGTTCTCCACTGTCACCAACTTGCTCCTGGTGCTCCAACGACCCTATGACAGGCGCATTCTGGCATCACAACCCTGGCTCTTGTGACGCAGCATCTCGCAGGGTGGTGTCCATGGGTGCAGCTCAGAGCATGGAAAATAAGTTGCCCCAGGGCCCAGCGAAACCTGACGCATTTTCTTCCCTGTCTGTTCTGTTCTATTGCTACGTCTGGGGTCTGAGAGCCCAGGACTGAGTCTCCTTGTGGGACTCCCTGGCAAAGGAGATGGGTGCCTTCTGCCGTGTTATCTGGTAGTCCCAGGTTTCCCTGAGAGCCCCCAGATACCATGTTCCATGATGATCATGACTGCATGCGGGCTCAGGGGGAGGACAATGGAGTCTCAGCTGGCTACAGAGAATTTCAAAGCCTTTGCAGATCAATAAATGATGTATTCATGTCTTTCAAGACTGGCTGACTCAAAATAATGGCTGTCCCTTCACCTGCTAAAGAGGGAGTCAGAGAAGTGTGGTATCTTGAGGAGGTCAGAGTGGCCTTTGAAGCCTAAATTCCTTCCAGAAGGGCAGCGGTGCCTCGGGTGCTGTAAGAACTGGCAGCCCCAGGGCTCCAGGTCCACCCCCATGAGGGTCTTGCCTGGCCGCCTGCTCCGCTTTCATGGAGTCTACATAAAAGGGAGCTGGCACTGTCTACAGCCTTGCCCAGGGTGAGGCCAAGCTTGGGTAAGGAGATGGTGGGGGAGGGAGAGTCAACTGGGAGCTCTCTGCCCACCATCCCGCTTAGGGCAGCTCTGCGCCCATGTGGCCTGATGACCCTGCAACCCCTCCAGTTCACCTGTGCCTTGCTCCTCTCTGGCCTTCCTTGGACTGTGAGTCTTTATGCAACCCGAGGGCAGCATCAAGGAGAGACCATACTCTGCAAGAAACAAGAAAAATCAAGCAGTCATGAGGGCATCACGCTACATCACCCATTCGGATTGTTGCAAATAATCCCAACGAATTACCTTTGGCCTTCTTCCAGGAGGAAGGTTGAGATGACTCCAAGTCCATGTTTGTCCTGCTGTCCTGACCTGCCTCTTGGTTCTTTTTTAGGGACAGATGTAACATTTTTCTTCAGGGATAGAAATAGTCACAAGACATGCCACTAATTCTGTGATTCCCCCATAAAAGTAAATCCATCACCCGGGATTTGGATCCCACACATCACTCAGATGGCCAGAAGACAGAGTCAGAAACACTGGAGAAGGGCTGGAGGGGCTCACCCAGGGGGTCCCACCATTCCCATCCTCTCGGAGCAGGGCCAAGCTGGCCAGAGACTGGACCCCGGAGGCACAGAGGTGCTCCACACCCATCGAGATGGCTCTGAATCAGTCAGACTGGAGGCTGGAGCTACTGTTCCTCCCAAGAGAAGTCTCCCCTTCCCCGCTCAGCAGCAGTGTCCTGCTAGTTAGGAACTGTGTTAATCCCATCTGCTGCAGATTCTTCTTTTTTAATCATCAGGTTCAAACACAGCACTTGGGACTAGCCATTTTCCATGTAACTAAGTCAGCAAGCCGCTGGAGCTAGTAGGCCATAACGGCCACCAACCTCGTGGTGTCTGGGCCGAGGCTCCCGGCACCAAGGAGCGGCTTTCTTCCTCACACCCTGGAGGTTCAACTGTATAATCAATCATCCATCCTTTACTCCTCCCAGTCTGTCTCATGCTCAAGGTCACACACACACACCACACTCCAATCCACCATCAAAACCACTGCAGTTATCTGCAATAGCTGAGGTGGCAAGCCAAGGCTTCCCATTTCATCTATATCACGGACCACGATGAAGACTTCACCCCCAGACACAGCTCCCACGAGGCCCACCTGAGAATTAGCAGAGTCTGTGTCGGTTCAAACCAATGAACCAAAACAACCAGATGGAGTGAGCAGGTGTTAACCAGGGAAGGTCTGAGGTTCTGTGTCACAGACCTATCTTGATTTTTTTCCTTTAAAACCTAAAGGCTTGACTCAAAGGGAAACTCCACCTTTGCTGTTCTGATATGGAACACCCAGGATTGTAAGAGAACAGAATCATGACCCAGGGGAGTGACATTCACTCAACCAAGCCAGTCAAAATTAACCCACAATTCCTGAGAAACCCCTCCTCCCCACAATGCCTCACAGCATGTCGGCAGTGTAACAGCACTGTTCCTGGCCCAGACATCTGCCCAGCCTGCCCATGGGCCACCTGAAGATGTTAACCATGCTGATGCCAGGGCCATGCCCAAGACTGGGCAATTTGGAGAATTCTGATGTGCAGTCTAGGCCTGCCCATCCCTCGCCCAAGCTGGGCATAGCCACTGTGTAGCCAGGATGCCACTCCCTCCCTTCCTCCCTCTCCCAGCTTCCCTGGCACTAGTCACAGCTCAGACACAAGCAGCTGTAACTCTGGGCAGGTCACTCTCCCCTGAGAAGACTCAGCTCCACAGCCCCTCTGTGGTTGAAAGAGTCGATGTATTTGAACATATTCAGAAGTAGGAACCACTCTGCAAGCATGCTTTGTGAGGAGAATGCCTCAGTACCAATCACTGCATTCTCAGAATGCCTGGTAATGGTTCATACAGAAACACATGATGAATGAATCACCAGTTGAATTTAAAAGACCTTCGTAGCTCACGTCAGTACCAATCTGTAGGATAACATTGGTTTGTCCATTCCGCCTTGCCACAGGGAGTTTAGGTTTACTGAGTTACTCCCATCACAGTGTTCCCATTCCTCTGTGTTTATTTGTAATTTCTTTCTCTGTGCTCTGTTGACTTGTAAATATTGTTTTCCTCTTCTCCTTAAGTCTTTTGCATAGTTAATTCAGAGCAATGTCCTTTTTGTACGGACACAAGAAGGCAGTCAATGCTATGCTTTCGTAAATTAAGAGTTAATTGACTCTGAATGATAATTACCTCCTGGACGACTTAAGCCTCAGTTGCCCTTACTTCCTAGAACCCCCAAAGCAGGGTCCTGATGAGGGACTGGATGGACCCAGAGCAAGCTGTGAGCTATGTGCTACCCTGGTATCGAAATAGGCCCTGGTCAAAATGCCATAATGCTTAACTGTAAGTTAAGAAAAGCATGGTCATGGACAAATGCTGTCATGGCCCAAAAAGTAATAACTAGATTTGGACCCTGTTAGGGTTAGGAAAGATTAATCTGGCCTGAGCACTGTAGTCTGAGTCTGTGGCAAGATGTTCCCAAGAGAACCACCCTATAAGCTCATCAATGTATCTCTTATCTGTCCATACAAAATAACTAATAATAAGAAATAGAATTAAGATGTCAGTTAAGATGTTTAATTAAGTTATTGGACTAAGGAGAGCAGGAACACCGTAGGTGGTGTTTCTGACCTTGAGCCTGCTGGGCAATTCAGGAAGGGCTTTCTTATGTTGTGATTTTGCTAAAAGACTGGGTGTAGCGGCTACCCCCCCCCCCCCGCCCCGCTGGGGAGTTGGAGAGAGACAAGAGAGTTGGAGGGAGATGAGACAGAGAGCAGGGCAGCAAGATGGGGGCGTGGAGAGACTAGCAAGGGGCACAGAGGGAGAAGAATACAGGAGCAGGCGTGAGGAGAGATGAGTGGAAGAGACAGAAGGGAATGAGGGGCAGTGTGAGACTAGAATGGGGGGGGGATTTAAAGAGACTGGAACAGGCACATGGGGAGAATGGAATAAACGGCAACTGATCAGTCAACCAGCTTGGCCCTAGCTTCCTTCTCTGTCTTCCCCATGGCATGGTCTGCCCCGGCTGCCTGCAACCCAGGCAGTGTGAGGGAGAGCTGCTGGGGCCTCCCCTGGTCGACCCGGAGATTATACACCAATCCAGCTCAGGTATAGGCAGGTGCACCCAAAAACCTCACAGAACTGCACTTTGCACCTCCCCTTGCCAAAGGACCAGATAAACAAAGGAAATGACACCTTAAGATAGAAAACCAACCTCTGAGTCAAAAGCAAGACTTCCTGGCTAAAAGCTGTGAATATTTATCAGTTTCTCTCATCAATAAAAATTAAGCGTAACAGTGAAGTCCTCTGTTTTCAACCAAGCAACTGATTTATGTGGGCCCAGCAGGTTTAAACTTATTGCTGACAGAAGGATCAGCTTTGGCCTTATTATTCCTCTGTAGAGCTATGAGATGTAACGTGAAAAAGTACTTTAAAATCACTGGTTTTGTTTTCTATAAACTTACATGGAAAATATGAAGCTGTTTATCTAATGCAATACTTTGGAACTCTCCATCAACTCTAGCTGCTGTGCGGAGATTACCCTAAAGAGGATGACCATCGACACCCGCTTCTTCCTCCCATAAAAGGTAAGACCAGTGCCGAGGGTGTCAGCTGCCAGGAAGGAGTGAGAGAAGTAGGCTGGGGAGTGCTGGGTTATCCTCCCAGGCCCACTGACCGTGCTTCTCCACGTTCTTTAATTCTATCATCATTCTTAACTAAAATAGTAACTGTTGGACTATTAAAGACAATTATAGACACAATCTCTCTCTCTCTATCTGTTTTTGGGCCCCCCGGCTATGCTCAGGGGGCCAGGAGAACATATAGAGTGCTGGAGATCAAACCTGGGTGGATGCGTGCAAGGCAAGTGTTTTACCCACTGTACTCTCTCTCCAGAGCCCAGACACACAATCTCTGACACGGTCTCACCAATAACTGATCAAGGGTAGAATGACTATTCACCCCACCTCGCAAGCTGGAGAACAAGGATATGGTATCTTTTCAATTTGCTCCCAAATGAGCACATGCCCATGGGAGCTACTACACTAGAAATGTGGCCATACTGGAGGGTATGTCCAGGCCCAATGACTGGCTCATTCCTAAGATGAATCTGGGTTCAAATCAGTGCCACATAGACATCCAAGGAGATGAGACAAGTCACCAGGAAAATCACTGTACTCCAAGTACAAAGAGACTTTTAGGCAACACCATCCAAAAGACGTTATCAATAAAATAGTCGTTTAATTGTCATTTAATGATTGAGTGGCTCTTCCAAATCAGGACCCAGGTGTGTACATATCTGTCAAGGCTCACAGCACTCAGGGCTTGACCCTCAGACAAAT